CTTGCAGTTTTACGCTTGTTCACTTGCGGGGCATTGGCCGAAATTATTTTGTTTGTTTGTTTGTCCTGTATTCCCCCAGTTGTGTTTACGCTGACAGCAAAACATCCTCACCTAACTTTTTCCTACCCACCTCCAGTAACACGGTTCTCATAAAGCATTTGTAGTGACGGAAAAAATAGACGAACACAAATGCACAAAAACATCGCCGGTCAAGAGTGGAGTGCGGAGGTCAACCTGCTGTTGTCATTTTTTTGAGCGCTCGGACGCACTCGGCGTCCGCTTGCGCGTGCTGGGTTACGGCGAGCGTGTCATCTGTCGTGCGCATCACCGTCTGAGACCGGGTTCCTCCCCACCATGGGGCCGCCTGCGCCGTCCGGAGTTCGCGTGGCGCTCGCTGTTGTTTTCCTTTCGCGTTGGGAAACCTCGAGAGCTTTTCTCACGCATCAGAGTTGATCGCTTCTGTCAGGTGTCTTCCAGAGAGGCAACAAACCAAAACAGAGCGTTCACATCTAGCCTCTCTGTTAGAAATTGCCTCTTTCAGCCGGTTTGAGAAGGAAAAATGCAGCCCAAAATAAAATCCATCGTAAAATTTAAGGGTGCTTTCGTTTGTTGCGATGGTCGGGTACAGGGCAGGAGCTGACATGGAGCTCGGAGAGGGCTGGCCACCATTGTGACCGCTGTCACGAGGAGATTTCTGGGGTGCCGCGGTTGCGAGGTGTTATCCGCCTCGCCTGGTACTCAGGAGGTCGCGGGTTCGATCTTGACCTTGACGCATGTATACTTGGGAGTTTGCATATTTTCTCGGCGTCCATCGGTGTTGCCCCTCCACATTTAGAAACACGCATTTGGATTGTATGGATCATAGACATTCCCACATGATATAGGCCACTTCAATGAGGCATCATGTGTGGCTAGGTCGATACTGAAAAAGAGCAAATGGCTCAGACGCTGTTCAAGCTTTTCAAGGGGCTGTCTACATTCTTACAGGGAAATGAAAATGTTGAAGGGCAAAGGTTCTTATTCATAACACCTAAATTAATTTTGTGTTATGAAGATGGACCATTACCCAAAATGTCACTTATTATAATTTTCCTTTCAAGGCAGTGTAATTGACGATTGTGTTGAACGGTTTCATTATGCGTGATTGTGCTTCACTGCCAACGATGCAGTATCACCAAACAATGTGTTTACATTCTTACAGGGGCTATAGATATCCAGGCACTCTTATAGGCTTGCAAACTACAATAACAGTGTGGCCAAAGCAAATATCGTGGATATGTGTACTCTGGTTGCATTTTAAACACCAGTCAACTCAGCCATATTTGTGACCGGATGTTTAATGATCTAAATTACGCGTAATTTTTTTCATTTTTTCAAAAAAAACATTTACACAATAAATGTACCGCAAAAACATGCTAAATAGATATTTCCTTCCTTTTGGGGTTTGTATTTTCATCATTCGCGGTTTTTTAATTATTTCCATTCATTCATAAAATGCACTACAACACACACTATTATCCATAATTACATCTTGTTTGTTGGGATTGCATGGTGGCTTCAACATTTTACTGGGCTCTGATTTATAAATGCAAGTGCTTGTCGTGCCAGTCTGTGATGGGCTCAAATTGTAGCTTTTAAGCTGTTTTCCTGTCCACTTTATTTTAATACTCTGTAAGTAGTGCAGCAGGTATATAAAACAATATTGTCGTGCTTCCAACAAAATATATATTTTTTACTGAAAGTGCTGTACATCATCCACTGCACAACAACGATCAGTCTCTGCCCTTGGTTGGGGATAAAGTTCCCATGCTGCTCTTGGATAGAAACCTCGTATTACACAGCAGGTGCATTGCGATTTTCTGTCACAAGAACGATATTTATTTTAGGGCCAATTATCGCCCCTACAGTAATGAATGAATTACTTTAAATCACCGACGGCTCACGCCAAAACAAACTCGGATTACAGTGCAACTCTGATGGGGGGAAAGTAAATCTATTAACAACAGCATCCGCAGAGACGCTTGCAACAAAATAGCACGCGTAATGCCCTGTTAAGGTTTGCCATATTATGATCTCATTCACTGGACATTTTTTCAGCACCGCCAAAACAGACTCATGGCGAGTGCCATGAGAAAGTTTAAAAAAATTGAGATAAAGTGATTGAATATCATGTCACCGTGTGGCGGAGAGTGCCTCACGACATTTAGCATTAAGAGAGCCTTGATAATTAGTGCTAGAGATGTTCGAGGTGATCGCAGTAGTGACGTGTCTCGCAGCTAGTTTTGTGGCCAGAATTGTTCTGTGGCCATCACCAGTCATAAATAACACTGGTCAAAAAAAATACAAATTTCTGGCCTGGACTTTTGCAGCTGTTTTAGACTAATTTCAGGGTGCTGATTCCAAATCTGATTTGCTCTATCACATCTAATTTTTATGCTATCGGCATACCCCATTTTCATTGATTTTACCCGAAATTAACTCTGTCACTTATGATTGCAAGTTGTTGCGAGTCAGTGACTGCTTTAGTGTTAAAATATGGTGCTGTATTTTTAGGATAGTGTGTTTATAATATAATTTTATGTAGATATCCATATTTATTTAATATTTTTCCTCTGCAGTTTTTATTGAAAATGCAATATTTGATATCTCAAAAACCTGATGTGATAGGCAAAAACTGATGCCAGATTTGGAATCAGCACCCCAAAATTACCTTAAAACCGTTGGAATACCTTATGCCAGAAAAAGTGTGTTGACCAGTGTAATAATACTGGACTTAACTGGCCACTGCTCTCAACGTGATACAGTATGTGGACTCTGTGCCATGGAGGTCACTTTACGGACAGATAACAACAGCATGAAACGCCAGAGGTGACGCACGCCCGAGCACGTAGAGGCTCTCTAGGCAAGCCTGTTCACGAGTGGTGTGACACGGACCGAGCCGGCAAAGCCAGCAACGAGGAGGTGTTGGAGGAGGAGGTGTTGGAGGAGGAGATATAGACAGGGCTGGGTGTGGCAAGGCAGATGGTTTCTCTAAGCGGCCGTGTAACGCGACGCCCTGAGACCCTGCACGGATGACTGTCGCGCACCGCGCACGCCGCTCGGACTTGTCGCGGAAGCGACACAATGAGTAAAATGAACCCGACTCGGGCTCTGTCCTCCTTGGCAGAATTGTCGGTGCCTTTTTTTCGGAGGCTCTGCGTGCGACGACGGGGCGGCACTTCATTCCCACCGCTCAACTAAAAATAACCCCCTTTGTGCCACTGCCAGCGAGTTGGCCCGCCATGGGCAGCAGTCTCCGTCGTCCACAGGGAGAAGTGGAGGTGGCCCCTCTGCTTTTGTCAGTGGCATGCACATTTCATCAAGACCCAACGGACGATTTCTACCGCACCGACGGTGTCAGCAACGATGGCATACTGTCAATAAAACACGCACTCGCCAAGATTCTCTGTTAAATTGTAAAAAAAAAATGTGCTGTTTGTGAGCACCTATTGTGTGGATGTTGAACTTTTTTTACACCATATGTAGCCAACTGTGCTAATTGGAGGTGCGGGGGAAAGGACAACGAACTGAACACAGTTATAAAGAAATGTGCATACCTCAAGTGGCTTGCTAATATCGGCAGCAGGAACATTCCAGATGTTCTATTAATAAGAGCAGCACGATATACAAGGGAGCGATCACCGTACCTAACCACCTTCATTTTCTCACCAAGTACCCATGTTAGGCGATGTTCGCTTCGGAGTAGCTCAGACCAGGTTCAGTTATTATTCGATTCGTTGTGATGGCGAGTATTAAAATACGAGTTGAAAGATAGCAGTACAATGCAATAGCCGCTAAAATACCCCTTCTGGTACAAACACACACACACAGCACTCGCACATAGCAGAAAGCCTCCGACGAGTCATTTTCGTCGAGTGGAGCCCCGCGGGGGCCGTGGGATTACAGCTCATCCCCTTCTCCGTCCGGCGTGAGCCCGGGCAGTGAAAGCTCGAATTGGCGTCACCTGGAGCCAGGGGGCTGTTCCGTCCGACCCGGAGCACATTCCACTTCGCCAGGTGTCACGGGACGCGCTTCCCCCAGCCTTCCCAAAAAGACACCTTGAAACAACAACCCCTCCCCCCCCCCCCCCCAAAAAAAAAAAACACGCCGGCTAAAAACTCCCAAAATATACAAGCGGTCATAATGGACTGGTGATGGATAGAATATATGAATATTTTTTTTCTCACTCAGGTGCATTTGGTTTTTCTTTTATGTTTTCTGAAGGGCGGATACAGAAATCAAAACGACAGTGTTTGTAATAATGTTTAGTCTGAGTGTGGTTTTGTGTTTTGCTGGACTCACACCTTGGTGAGGTGGGGCTCTCGCTTGCCTGGCTTCCACAATGAGCATGACTCCTTTGATGCCCAGATTCAAGCACTCGCAGCGAAAACAACCCCTTCGTGTGCCGCTCCATCCTCACCAAAACACTGCTTTGGTTCGATGTTTTAAAAATAATAACTTTCATTCGTTTCCCTCCGTGGCAGTCACTGCTGCTGCTGTCAGGCGATGTGATACGGTTGCTTGTCTGTATCTCGTTAGATTCCTTAACAACAAAGCTTACCGCTATGCGTGTGACAACAAATGGCAGCTGTGGGGTTGAGCTTTGCCTCCTACAAAAATAACATTTCTAGCACCGATATCTCTCAATAAATATCCACTTTTCTTCACATTACAACAAGGAATGAAATCCTGAGGGTTAACAGATTTTACAATCTTTACGTGTGCTGTAAGCAAACACATAAAGAAACAAAATTGTTCTTGCCGTCTAAAATAAGAAATTGCAATAATCACTTCTGTGTTCAAGAGTTGTGGGTCGCCACAAGCTGCCGATGACAAATATAAGACGCACGCAGGATTTAAAAGAATACATTTAGCTGGACTCGAACATCGAAATCAAGAGATTAGAGCGGTTGTGGCTGCCTCGTTACCGGAAGGCCTCCTCTGCGTGCGTGCGTGCGCAGGCGAGCGAGTGGGGCTGTGACGAGACGACCAGGAGGTCCTGCTACAGCAAGGGCAAGTCGGAGGTGAGCCTCGCCACGAGCACAGCCGGCGTCGTGAGCCTGCCCGGCGTTCGCTGGGCATGCCGAACGAGTCGTATAAACCGTGGGCAGGCATTTATGGTGGCCGAAGTTAAAGCATTTATCTGCCCGATGATGTTCGTGCTCTGTAAGTGTGTTGTGATATCATGTGCTGTGCCATCACGTCCTATTTTGCGCCAATGACGTCTACGCAAAATGCAAATGCCGGAATTTGTGGAGTAATTCCCACAGCACCCTTTGTTGTTGCTCACAAAGCGATGCAGCGAGTCGCCCCTTCCCAAGTTTCCACCGGGCCTCTGCAAGGGTTACGCGTCTGCACCGTCGAATCAAATCGGAACCGCTTAAGCTTGAGAAGCACGACTCAATTTTAGAGAGGCAAACTTTCTCCAGGGTGTGCGTGTTGTCATGGAGCTCTGAGGAGGCATATTTGTCGTGATAAGGCCATTGATAAAATTAAATATTTACGATGATAACGATGACCTCTTTGGGTAGTCAGCTCGAGGCGACCGACATTTACACACGTTCATATGTCGCCAGAAAATCCAAAACATAACCAGCTGGGCCATTCTAACGTCTTGGCTGGATTGCTCGTAAATGGCCATGAAGGGAGAAAATATTGACTGATAATGATAACGAAGACCTCATCGGACAGTCAGCTAGGTCACACAGACATTTACATCATTGTTATTAGAAACAATATTATTGTTAATAATTGACATACACTCGCGTCGCCTGAAAAGCCAAATCATAATTGGCCGAGCAACTGGAGTGTTTTGGCTGCGGTGCTCGTGAAGGGCCCTGCGCTGGCCAAGATATTCCCCGACTTTGAGTTGCGGCTCAGCACGCTGCCGCTCGTGAGCAAATTGAGTTGGTGTCCGCGTCCCTCACGAGAAATCGGAGCCAGAAGGGGCCGTGCAGAGCCATTCCCCACGTTCCCACGGACCGCTTTCGTGTTGAGCGTGCACGGGCGCAATGGGGGTGGGGAGGGGGGGCAGCGGGGGGGCCCATAGCCGTGGGGGGTTGGGGTCACTGAGATTACAGCACGCCGAGGACCAAACAATGATTTCCTTTTAAGCGACGGACTCGCTGGCTGCCTTCCACTCGTGTGCTTTGGTGATTTATCTGGCCCGCAACCCCCTGGGAGGGTGGATTAAAGTGTGACGTAAGGAATGCTGCTGCTATTCATCGTCGCTCAATAAAGAGATTCTCTACGAGATTGATGGAAATCCAGTGATGTAATAACGTACAGCATGCTCGCGATGAACGCTTCATCCCAATGCGACCTCTCTCCTGCGACGCGTGGATGGTGGCTCCTGCCGGTAACGACACGGGCGTTAGGGAGGCTAAACCGCAGGAAACACGAGTGTACGGCCATGCGGACGAATGCTCTCGCGGTGGGTTTATGAAGAGCCCCTCTGTGCAATTGCACGCGTCGCATTCTTGGCAGAGAGCTCGCCGTTGATATGACACCTGCATGCGATGAGTCCGCAAGAGTTTCCATTTAAATCCTTTTGTGCGCCGGTGGCCGTACATCTGTTAGTTACTTGTGTAGTGAGTCCAACCGAGTCGCAGACGTTGTCTTAGGGAGCAACACGTTTTATTAAACTATTATCACAACATACTCCAGGCTATTAACACAACCCACTCTCGGGTGGTGACCACCCAACTAACCATGCTACGGCGGAACTAGACACGGTTCCACTATCCCGGTCAGGACCATAAGCTGGGTCCCGGACCGCGTGGCTGGAGGCTTCTTCCAGCTTGACGTGGATCTCCTGCCTCCAAAAGTCAGAACCCCGAGCCCCTCCCAGGGCCCCCCTTATATCGGGCTGGGGCTGGCTCCGCCTCTCGCCCCGCCCACCTTCTCGATCTCTCTCGCCCTTGCCCGAAAGCTCTCGACAGTTCCTCCCGGACCATGTGACCACCCATTGGCCCCCTCCACCGGTGGCCCCCCTCCAGTATCATCCGGTCACGTGTCCCCAGGTCAGCCAGAGTATCATGCCCCCAACGTAACCCTAGCTGGCTGACTCTCGCTCTCTCAACGGGAGCCCGCACCGCACGCTGTATGTGGTGCCATCACGCTTAACCAGCGCTCACCCAAGCCCGCACTAGGGCTGGTAGTACACCCCGTGTCCGGGGTGTACACACAACAGTAGACATCCCGCCGTGGCTTCACAGGCCCGGCACCACACAGTGACATTCCCAGTCATTACACTTGTATGCACGTGTCGGGCAGTTTTTGATGGGCGGCATTGCGATCCCAGCAGCCTGAGTTCATTCTCTGATCGTCATGCACAGTAAAAATTGGAAACCACCATCTGAACTCGGCCTAAACCGACACTGTCAACTTGGCTTAAAATGAGCAACTGGTTTAATCACGATCATCAGCGCTGGGAGACAAAGGTAGGCAGCCATGTGTGATGCTGGCCACTTGGGGGGACCCCCCGTGAATCTTGTTGACAAGTGCCACTTGATGGCCTCGATGGTCTATTGGGTAAAGGGTGCGATGCTTTGTCTGTGTACAAACGTGCGGCGTTTTGACCACAGCCAATGTGTGTATGTGCGGGCACGTGTCACAGGAGGAGTGCCAGAACTACATCCGTGTGCTGCTGGTGCGAGGAAACCGGCTGCTGGCGTGTGGCACCAATGCTTTCACGCCTCTGTGCACCAACCGCACCGTGAGGGCCCCCCTCCCTTTCACACCGCATGCTCACAGTAGCTACAAACTCGTATACGCAGCAGCAGCAGCAGCTACAAAACCTGTACACGCAGCAGCAGCTGGCAAGGTGCACAGGTCTCGGCTGGGGTTTGTGACGGAGGCAGCATGTGCGCAAAGACTAAACACGTGTTTGTTAATTATGACATATTGTCCATTTTAATACCAAACACATTCACCATCATGTTACGTGGTGAGGTAATAGAGCATGCACTGTACTACGAACCGGTGATGCTGGTTCAAACATTTGGCCTTCTCTGGGGTGACTCCTCCTTAAATGAGTAACTATTCCTCTGGTGGAGATGAAAGCCATACAGTTGCCTCACATGGTCCTGGCCACACCACTTCCTTGTCTGTTTTGCTGGCCCTAATAGGTGCTTGCTTATAGGACTTTCCCCAGCAGTCTGTTCGATAAAATTCACACGCTATCAAACGTTTTTGCCGATATTTGTAAAAAAAAAAAAAAAAACTCGTTACTAACTTGCCCAATTTTACCGAAGTCAAATCGACCTGCCACACGAATCTTCTTTTGTTGTGTTGTGTCTTCGTCATCGTAGTTATCGTTGTTGTGTCCGTGCAGCTGGGGAACCTCAACCGTGTGTGGGAGACGCTGAACGGCGTCGCGCGCTGCCCCTTCGACCCACAACACAGCGCGGCCACGCTGCTCACGGCGCGCGGGGAGCTCTACGCCGCCACCGCCGTGGACTTCGCAGGGCGTGACCCGGCCATCTACCGCAGTCTGGGCGGCCTCCCCACCCTGCGCACCGCGCAGTACAACTCGCGCTGGCTCAACGGTAACCGCGCGCCGGCACGCGGCAACGCGGCGTCGCTGAGAAGCCCCGGGTGGGATGGCAGACCCTGGAGTTATTCAAAACAGCCAACAGGGGATTAGTGAAGCAGCCCACACAGGAACCTCCTTGAGAAAGAGCCTTGAGACTCGGCGAGGGAGAATAAAATGGTGGCGTGATTTTAAAGCGGCGTGCCGAATCGATACGTCCGTGTGGCTGCTATAATTAGTGTTTTGTAAAAAAAAAAAAGTGTTTACTTAAACATTTAAACCAGGTGAGAGCCCCAGTGGGATGACGCCTATTTAACAAGGGTGATATTGTGAATTGAACCTGTTTGCAACGTGGCAGAAATTCCAGTACAGCTAACACACACTCATTGCTGCTTGCTTTTGGCACTGATATCCCCTATCACGCTGGTTGCTGTAAAATTACGGGTAAAAGTTAACTTTACGTAAATGATTCGTCATAGGGGGGATTGTAAATCTGCAGCTTGACCTTTTATTTGCTGACGTCTCTCAGGGAGCGGATAGCCTAACCCGTACAAAGAGATCATTACAAACATGCGCCAGATATTGATGTGCGCAAATCAGTTTTTTTTTTTTATTCGGGAGTAATGTGAAACTAACGCTTGCCCGATCACGGAATTGGCCATCGTGGACTTTAGGTGGCCAGAGGTTTGTTCCCTGGCTTGGGAGAGGGCGCGGTGGGGGGGGGGGGGGGGTGTAGAATGAGCAAATCCATCGTGGCTCCGCTCGAGGTCCACGTCGAGAGGGAATGTGAAACACCTGGCATGTGGCGTGAGACCACGGTGGCCCCATTTTGGCCAAAGGATAAACATGTAACCTGACATCTCTAAACAGGCGAGGTTTACACCGACGCAGGCTACCCTTAGAGTCTACCGTAAATATATATACACGGCGAATTGGTATAAATTGATATTTTCCTACTCTTAATGCATTCAAAATGAATGTATTAACCTTCAAGGTAAGGTAATTGTTGTTTCGTTTGCCCTTATTTTACGTGATTAATAATGGCAAATTTTACATGAAATGAAGTCACTTGTAAACATCTTAGTTTTACTTTCTCTTCAGTGCATATTGACACCGCGCTCCTCAGCACTTGGTGGTTTGCGTCGGGCGTAGATCCACGTTGACAAGCTTGTGTACACAGACATACGTAAATATATGATCACATTGCTCTCTGCAGCTGATGTTGCAACCGGGGTTTCATTTCTCACTCAATACATATCCATGTCGACGGTCGCCTGGAGCTGACGGCACGTGACTCAGTAGCCGCCATAGCGAGAAGTAGACTGGATTTTACAAGCTAAGCTATCGCAGTCACTCCAGATCGAGGAAAAACATTTTGTTGGATCACCGACCCTTATGTACCCGGCTGGAATCAAGCTCCGGTTTCCACCTCCTTTTCTTTGCCCCTGCAGAGCCGAGCTTCGTGCTGGCGTGGGAGGCAGGCGGCTTCGTGTACGTGGCGTTCCGCGAGGTCGCCGTCGAGCAGGAGTGCGGGCGGCGAGTCGTGTCGCGCGTCGCCCGCGTCTGCGCCAACGACCTGGGTGGCCGCTTCCTGTTGGAGGACACGTGGACCACGTACATGAAGGCACGACTCGAGTGCTCGGGGACCCTGGGTTCCGCTTCGCCCGGGTCCGCGGCCGGTGCCGCTCCCGCCCAGGACGTGGTCGACTTCCCGGAGCTCCAGAGCGCCGTGTTCGTGCCCGAGGCCGGACTCCTGTATGGGGTGTTCACCACCGCGGGGTACGTACGACTTCCCGCTGGTGGCGATCATCGTTGGGGTTGTTCTAGATTTGAAGCTTTCGTGACTGCAATGATTCATATTCTTAGGTTTTTTCGGTAAAGTCACGTAGGTAAATGAGAGATTGCAGGAGTTATATAAACGCAGTGGTAACTCATGCAATCTCTCATTTACTTGATACAGCTGTCGTGGCTGTGACGGTACCACCTGAAGACGGAAGCTTGTGTTGCCTCCGAAACGTCGTGATTTTTATTTTATTTTACTTTTTTATTTTTTTACCTACGTGACTTTACCGAAAAAACCTAAGAATATTGGGGTTGTTTTACCACACCACACTAGACAGATGAGACCATCCTATTTGGGGAACAGGTCATCTCAGGACCGGTACAGATATCACTCGCCACTGTTATTCACCGTGGCGGATAACAATTCCCTTTTGCTGGGGTCTAGAAATCGTTGGAAACAGGAACTATGACATTTTACGAAGATAATTCGCATGTGTTGGGGCGTGCGGAGATGTTGATGTCATGGTCAAGGATGTCTTCATCCAGCAGCGGTTAGACCATGACTGATGATGGTTACACGTGCGCGAAGGCCGGCACTGCGTGTGATTGACTCCGCGATCCTTGTCGCTCGCGCACCCCTGCAGGAGCGGGCCAGTGGCCTCTGCCGTGTGCGTCTACAACATGAGCGACGTCAGAGAGACGTTCAACGGCCCATTCAAGTTCCAGGAGTCGCCGCGCACGGCCTGGCTGCCCCATCCCAATCCCAACCCCAACTTCCAGGTGCTTACCAGCATCCGCCACCATGCCTCTTACCTGCCACGTGACACTTAGTCGTCCACCACCATGCCGCTCACCTTTCGCACGCAACTCAGTCGCCCGCGACCATGCCACCCACGTGCCACTCACTGCCCAGCCGCGAGGGTCTGACGGTGTTGCGGCGTGTCTCTGCTGCCGCAGTGTGACACGGTGCCGGACGGCTCCACCGCTAACCTCACGGTGCGAAGCCTCGTGGACGCGCAGCGCCTGTTGCTCATGGCGGAGCCCGTGACCCCGGGCGGGGGTCGGGCACTGCTCGCCCGCCATGGCTCGCGATTCACGCGCCTCGCCATCGACTCGTCGGCGCGGGGCCGCGGCGGGGTGGTGCACCGCTTGCTGTTCGTGGCCACAGGTAACCACGGCGCTGCAAAGCGCGCTGGACTACAGCTGTGCTCGTTTGAGTCTCGCGTTTGTCAGACGTGCGTATCGTGTAACTGCCAAGTTTTGTCATTGCCAAGGCGCCTTGAGACATTAGTGGAAGGCGCCTCACGAATAAATGTCAATAATTTTTTTTATTAATGACGTAGATGACGGTAACAATTCACCGTGTGTGCCTATCGTCACTGCCCGGATTGGGAAAGGCAAGCCGAATAATAATCCCCACGTTCGCAGCGAAATTGTCTTTCTCACTCTCACCCGTGTTGCCCACCCTCTCCCCAGACGAGGGCACGGTGCAGAAGGTGGCGGCCGCCTCGGGCTGCGTGATTGACGAGATGGAGCTGCCCTGGCCCGCCGCGCGGCAGCGTGTCCGGGCGCTGCACGTGTCCCCTGGCGACGGGGCACTCTACGTGGGCACCGACGGTGCCGTGCTCAAGCTGCCCCTGGAGCGCTGCTCCGCTTTCCGCACGGAGAGGTGAGCGCCAACCCTCCCCACGGCGTTTCCCCAGCCTGCTCCTCGCACGCCCGGCGGAGGCGGCCTAATGTCATCCCGTTTACGTGAATTCGCTGCTCTGGCGAGTGCACAAAAGGTCACGTAGAGACTTTGTTTACGATGCTCGTGTTATATTTTATTGGCTAAGTAAGTTCACTGGAACGATTCGGAAAGCGGCGTGCATGAGATGTGAAGTGGGAGGGAGCCTTGCCTATGTTTCAAGGTCTTGCCGATGGTTGTGGTTACACGGTGGAGACCTCGCGGCGTAACGTCTCCATTTGAGGACAATGCAAACAACCCCCTGCCGCCAGATGTCTAAGGCTCATCAATTACGCACGAGGCATTAACTTTTCCAGCAGGACCCCTGATGTGTTTACTTCTCTCGTGAGTCGAGAGTGCCGCTCACGCTCCTCCTGTTCCCTCCCCGCCCCGCATGCACACGTGTGTCCGTGCGTGTGTCTTTGTCATTGTCTGTGCGTGTGTCTGTGCAGTGTGTCCGTGCGTGTGTCTTTGTCATTGTCCGTGCGTGCGTCCGTGCGTGTGTCTGTGCATGTGGTGTCCGTGGGCATCTGTGACTGCACAGCACATGTGTTGGCTCGCGGGACCCGTTCTGTGGCTGGGACCTGACCCTGAGACGCTGCACCACCCTGAGGGAGAGCTCCGGCTCCGAGTCTTGGCTGCAGGACCTCTCCCAGTGCCCGGTGAGCGCCCCAACCATGAACCAGTGACAGCGCACGCACGGGCAGATCCTCCACTCCACACATTCCTCTACAGGAATTTGCCAGTGAACTGCAACCGAGGTCAGTGTGCCCTCACCTCTATTCCTGTACAACAAATGCTTTATTCAAGACTTCAAAAGTCCTAGATTTATCATCCTTGACAGCGATTGACTGAAGCCTTTTCTCATAGCTGCTGTACATTCCCCCAAACACCTCTTACTCTCACCCTCCTAGCCCTCACTCTTCTAGCCCTCACCATCTTAATCCTCACCCTCGTAGCTCTCACTCTCCTCGCCCTCCCAACCCTCACCCTTGTGACCCCGGCGGTGGACTCGTGGTGCTGATCTAAGTCTCCCCCCCCCCGACCTCGTGCAGGTGCGGAATCTGACGGTGGACGGCGCGCTGGGGCCGTGGTCGGCGTGGGAGACGTGCCAGCACTCGGACGGCGGGGAGACGGGCGGCGGCTCCTGCCTTTGCCGCCGCCGAGCGTGCGACACGCCCGTGCCGCAGTGTGCGGGGCGGCCTTGTGACGGCGCCACCGTGCAGGTGGCCAACTGCTCCAGGTGCAGCCTCGCTCCTCGCTCGCTTGTGCTCGAGCTCATGAAGGGAATGGGGCCGAGGGGTTTGTCACGTTGATCGTGCGTTAATATTGCCGCAGGCCACGCTCTGTCTTGCCAGAGCGTTTATGTCGGTTATAAATGTATGTCTATGTGTGGCGCTGTCATCAATCCACTGCTGGAATAGGGGCTATCTGAACATACCTCACCACGTTTTACAAACGCATAAATACATACATACAGACGTACACATAAACACACGTGCACATATAGATATGCATATGTATACACACACACGCACAAAGAAATACAATATTTAGGGTCAAGTAAGAGCAGATGAAAATAGCTCGTAGACACCGGGTCATCTTTACACAGAGCCGGACAGAATCTATATGTACTGAATGGACAAAACTCATTCGTACTTCTCCCAACACTCGTCTCATAACCTCTGCGTCCTCCGCACCAGTGAATGAAACGTGTCCGGCTGATGACGATGACGATGATGACGACGATGGTGACTGACGACGATGACAATGACGGAGGGTAATGATGTGACGGCAAGCAGCAGACACGGGGTGATGAGGCTGCGGTGATTTTTCCGTGTGCAGGAACGGAGGCTGGACGCCGTGGTCAGCCTGGTCAGTGTGCACCACCACCTGCTCCATGGGCTTCCAGGTGCGGCAGCGCTCATGCAGCAACCCCAGCCCGCGGCACGGAGGCCGCGTGTGCGTGGGGCAGAACCGTGAGGAGAGGTGCGTGCACTTGGCTTGCCACCGCCACACCCGCCAGTCACAGGCCCTTCGTCCGTCCATCCGCCCGCCCGCCCGCCCTGACCAAATCCAATAGCGATCCTTGCCTCGCGTCTGTGTGTGTGTCTCTGTTGTTGGAAATTAAACTCAACAATTTGTTTGTGGAGTCATGTCGAAAAATGTGTCCCAATAAATGCCGACAACCAAGAAAGAGTCGCTAAGATTAATGGTAAAGCCCACGTCTAATTGATGTTAGAAACCTAATTGATGCATGTGTGTGTGTATATAGATATACATAGGAAAAATAGGAAAAATACCATTCTCCATAGTCATTTGTTTTACAAAATAAAATACAGGTCAGAGAGTGAAACAATACGTTGCTCGAGTCGTGTTGACACCACGTGCCGGGCCGCGACCCACGACGGTTTTTAACGCCGCCACTGTGCCGCCAGGTTCTGTAACGAGCACACGCGCTGCCCTGTGCCGGCAACGTGGTCCCCGTGGGGGCCGTGGGAGCGCTGCAGTGCGCCGTGCGGCGGGGGCGTGCGCACGCGCAGACGAACATGCGCCAACGCCAACGCCAACGCCGCCAACGGGGAAGCCTGCGCCGGGTGCGACACGGTGAGAGACGCACGCCACGGGCGCCTTCGACGCGCTCTGCGACAGCCACTCTCTCTGACCCTGGTGTGCCCCGTGTGACAAACAGCATCGTAGCTCGTCGGATTTCTCCAGGATAAATAACGGTTCTGATTCGCTCCTGCTGCCCGAGCGACTGGTCACGCTTTCCCTCGCGCTGTTGCAAGGCTCGGACCGGCCTTGTGGAGGGTATAAATTCCCTGCCCGAACCGGCAAGACGTCGTGATTTATTTTAATTAAATTTTATATATTTAAATTTTGTTTTATTTCTACAAACGCGACTTTAACGTAAAAAGCAATGAGTATAATTTCTGCAGTCACGAAAGCTTCAATTCTAGATGAAGACATTCAGATTTAACTATCACGTGGGGGGATAATTGATGCAGGCTGAACACATTTTTCCACTGTCATAACACTGTCTAAAAGGCGGTAAATATACGCGAGGCTAATGTTTCAGGAACACAGCTGTTTGTCCCAGAGAGATTGAGACGAGGGTTCCTGCTCTAAATCGTAGATTTTACAGAAGAAATAAAAAGTTGAAGTAATTTGAACAGAAAAAGGTCGTTCAAACACACGTGATCATCACGAGTTAGGAAACTTCAAGAAGCCTGATATTTATGAACACTGTAAAACACGAGTCGTTGGCAATTAACACCCTCTAAGTCGTCCAGAGAGTGCACGGTGTAAATATTTTTACAAGCATGCGCAACAATGAGCACGCTTGAAATGGACGCTAACCACGCCTGACATCTCTTTCACTTTCGTGTCAATATTTTTTGCTGCCATTTCATAAAACCGCATCGGCGTGATGTTCGGGCAGTCAATATAATTAACCGTGCGATATTAACACCTTGGTGCTACTGCTGATATTTCCCGAGTAACCCTCGCGGGACGCCTTCCTGGCCAGAGCATGCATGCGCCGCACGAGTGGGAAGGGCACGGTGGCTACGTATACGGTGTGAAAATAAGTTCCGATGCACATACGTGCACACGTCCCGGTGCGCCGTACGGGTTGGGCCGTGGTCGGACGTGCCCGATGCTTCCGCCCGTTCTCCCCCTAGCGCGGAGCCACCAAAAAAATCCAACGTGCCCCTTCTCCCCAACCCACCCCCCCCCCCCCCAATGATCTGTGGAAAACCGCGGCCCATTTGGCGGTTTGTGTTCGAGGTCGTTGATGAGCCCGGTTGAGGAGGCTGCTAGGCCCCGGGGGGTAGTGAGCGGTTTCCGCTCGGTACCCACTCGGTACGATGCCCTGCTCGGCTGGGTGTGGTGCCGATGTCCCCTCAGGGCCACCCAGCCCCCCACCAGCCCCCTTTTCATACCGAATAATGAAGTTCTCAATTAAAAGCATCCTCATTAATGTGACCTGTAAATGTTACCGTAATGAAGTTTTTGACAAAATATTATATATATGTGTCCATGTGTTTATCTCGAAGGTGCATGTATTTGACTATATATGCCGTGCACACGGAGCAGTGTGGGGTAGTGCTTGGCACAATGTGCTATCGTCTCAATTATTTGGCTTCCATTCATACCCATGATGCACAACTCTGATGAAGCAATTGGTGTACGAATCTGGTCCGGTTCTATCCTAAGTCAACAATAAAACATACGCTGGCCTTGGTGTGTTGCTGCGCCGACCTTGATAGGTGCTCGCTAACAACAGTTTCTCTAGTGGCCCAAGGTAAGCGGGGAACCATTTGACCTTTCACATACATTTCCCACTGTATACATTAACACGAGAGACAGGCGTATATGTGTGTGTGTGTGCGTGTTTGGTTGAGCGCTCGGTGAAGAAGTTCACTTAACAGCTGTGTTGGGGCTCGTGATGGGAGCAAAGCGCTCTTCTGGAACACACCTTGGTTTTTTTTTGTCTCTTCTGTTTAAGCAACAGGGACCGCGATGGATTTCCTTTTACAGAATTAACGTCGTAAATAAAGCGGCAGAGAGGTTAACTGTTTGGGGGAACTGCGCAATATTTTACGGTGCCGGCGAGGGTTTCGGCACTCACAAAGGCCCTCAGCTGTGGGCAAGGGGCCAGAGAGCAGAGAGGACGAGCGATTATTTATTCCATTGTGCGACGACCGTGCAAGCGCGCGTGCGAGTGCGTGGACATGTGTTGTACACATGTGTGTGAGCGTGAATGTGCACGCGTGCACTCGTGTCTTTGTGCGGGGAGTGGTGGCGCAGTGGTTAGAGCATTGTGCGACAGCACTTTTCCCAAAAGTCTGTTAAGGCAATACGGGGGTTCTTTGTGTTTGTAAATTAATATGCATGTGTGTGTGTGCATGAGTGTGTGAATGCACGTGCGAGACTGCGTGAGAGTGAATGCGTGCGTGCGTGTGTGTGATTGGGTGTGTGCGTTCCCCGCTTAACTTGGGCCACTAGGTCGACTCAGCCTCAAATGACTACCTGGTTCGATATGTAAACATCGCCACTAGGGAGACAAAGGCGGCCGGGCGTGGTGTTGGCCACCCACCCCCTCATGTGCCATGCCGGCCTTTATAGGTGCTCGCTAACAGCACTTGCTCCTACAGTCTGTTAAGGCTATACGGGGGATCTTTGTTTTTTTTTGTATGCGTGCGCTGGGGAATAGTTTGGCAGACCATGAATGGAACGGGTCCCTGTTGCGCTGCTTGGCTGGGCAAGACCCAGTTGCAATCGCATTCACCCTCGGTCCCAGTGCATCCCAGAACGGCACTCGCTCGTGCTACGAGCCTAATTGCAAGGGGGAGTTTTGCTCGTGCTGTTGCAGTCACACTTGTACTCGCCACTGCGTTAACAGCGCAGAAGACCATTGGGAAACATCGCACGCGTGTAAACTTGGCTCGCGGGGCATTTATGCAGATCGCTGCAACAGGCTGCGGCTGTTTGTGTTCCCCCCCCACCTGCCACGCGAGCTAAGTCACAAGTAGGTGGATGAGCGGGCGGGTGGTATGGAGGCTCTGGCCACCCGTGCATGTTGGAACAGAGCTCTCTGCACTTTGCGGGACGCATTCTTGAGGCGCGTGTCACGGACGGCAGGATGAGGTTGAACCGCAGAGCCGTGGGGCTCAGGGCAGGACAGGCTGGGCCTTGCGTGCGGTATGCGGCGCGCGTGCGAGCTCGGTGCGTTTGCCACGCCGCTCCATGGCCTCCGTTTGCCGGGCGCGTGTGGCAGCCGTTTCCTCGCACAAGGCTCTCACGATCGCCCAAGGCTGTCGGACACAATGCTAGGTGTGCGTGCGCTCGTTCGCGTGCGTGCATTACATTGAATCACATTGCAGCGTGATAATTGGTATCTGAATCTTATTTGGACCTCCCGTAGGATGACTTGACCTAATTGAAGTTGAGTACCTGGGAGAGTTTGGTCAACTTCAACACTTGGGTGTGGCTTGTGGGTGAGTGTGGTGCTTGCCACACTGTCTCCCTCGCATCATGAATTGGACTTTTGATGTGCACGCTAACAGCACTTTTCTGACGGTCCACATGGCTAAACAGGGAATATTTATACCTCTTGGATTACAATGTGGAATCTTGTTAGAAGATCGTTGTTTTTATCGAAAGAAGCTCGTAAATGAGTGTTTTGTGGTTTGGCAAAGTGGCTCATTAAAATTGCTCACATGTTCCTCCTTACCGTGAACAATTTACTCCTGAACCTTCCACGATATGCCGCAAAGAATTTACAACTGAGAAGCTAGCAATTATGAAACTCTACAAAATTCCATGCCCGCTGGCCTCGATTGAAACAACTTGGAAAATGTTCCATGCGAAGAAGTGGTTGTAAACATCTTCAGACACCTCGTTTCTCTGCTTGTTCCTCCGTGTGACGCACGTATGACGCTATTAAGGTTTCACCTCTTGAGTACATTTGGTAGATAGAGCCGTCTCGGCCCTGAACAGCCGAATCGCTATCTGCGTCATCCAGTTTTGTTTATCTTCAGGGAAGGGTTGAAGAGTCTTGATTTGTGCCCGATTATAAGCGGTGCTGATCAGGGCCCCCTGTTGCTGCCACAGAGCCGCGTTTAACCAAAGAAGGTTGCCCTCGGGTAGAGCTCTTGCCATCGTTGCTGCGTCCTTCACTCTGCAGCTGGCTTAGCAGAGATGGCATTGACCCCTGATGCCATGACAGAGTACAGCTGGGGGCTGGCTGTCTTTCTCACGTATAAAGTTATATTTTCCTTACATCATCATGATCATCATTATTATTATATGGAGACATCATTCAAGTTCAATGTTTATCTTGCTGATTTTTTTTTTCTCATCGTGATTAACTGGCAAGAAACTTCTCCCGGAATGAGAACATTGGATTTTGATTTAAACCACGCAAGTAAATGAAGACAATATGGTAATCCGCTTATTTGACGTAGACTTGCAATGCCACGGGACTCAAAAGGCTTAACTGCGATCTTTGAATTTGTCATTGCCATGCCTACTCATGCATCCATTATCATTCCTCCTAGTTTAAGGTCAACCCATTCATTTCATTGACCTTTAATGTTTTTCCAGTAAGTCCATTTCCATTGAGACCACATTTATCAATGCCCATTCACTTCTGTAGCAGCAGAAACTTGCCATTGAACAGACTGCTGGTGCACGAGCTTTTAGCGAGCACCTATTAAGGCCTGCACGGCACACACAACAGTGTGATGTGGCCAGCACAAACCCCGCTTCCTATGTCTCCCGAGCACTGACGTTTACATATCACACCAGGTACTTATTTGAATCTGGCTTGATCTAGGGGAGGACCAGGACCATTTCAAATGTTATCCTTGACACAACTGCTCATTGATCCCCACGTTAGTCGCCGCTGAATTGGGAGGGCACGTGTGGCAGGGACGTTTCCGTCCGTCGAGACGATGTATGTTGAACTTCATTCGCACCGTGCATAGCCAACCATGCTCATCGGAGGTGCGGTGAAAGGACAAGAAACTAAGCACAGAAAGCAGTTCTAAAGAAATGAGTTTCAATCTAGATGATTCAAAAGTACAGTAAAACCTTGGATTGCGAGCATAATTTGTTCCGGAAACGTGCTTGTAATCCAAAGCACTCGTATATCAAAGCATTGGTATAACAGTTGTGATCACGTGATGCTCGGCAGACCAAGCTTATACGTACTACTCGTATTAAAAGGCCTCGCTCGTTTTGGAAATTCATATTTTAAAAAATTGCTCGTCTTGCAAAACACTCGCAGACCAAGTTACTCGCAATCCAAGGTTTTACTGTACATAGCTCCAGTGGCTTCCTCATATCGGAAGGACGAGCGTTCCAGACGGCCGCAGAAGCACATTTAAAAGTGCGTGATGCGGCGACAATCTTTGTTCGTTGACTCACCATTCAATTATTTTAAAAAAACTAAACCGGGTCTCGCGTGTCGTTTGCTGGTGGAGCGCAGGAGCACCAGGCCTGCCACAGCGACCCGTGCCCTGAGGCGAGAAAAAACACTCCGTGGACTCCCTGGCTGCCGGTGCCAGCCGCTGGGAACAGCACGGGGCAGCAGCAGCAGCGTGGGGCCGCGGGACGACACGAGCAGCGCTTCCGCTACACGTGCCGCGCGCGCCTCCCCGACCCCGACGCGCTCGACGTTGCGCGCAGGAAGGTGGAGATGAGATTCTGCACCGCCGGCACCAACGAGTGCAGCATGGACGGTAAGGGAGGAGGGGTGCCCAAGGGGATAGGGGATGACGGTGGTGGGTGGGTGCGTGGGTGGGTGGGTGGGGGGGCAGGACATGATGGTGGGGTAATGGTGGATAATCGTGGGAGGGGGGGAGGGTACTGGGTTTCAATAGGCAGCAATGTAAGGTAGTGTGGAATGATGGAGATCATTGGTGATGGTGGTCAGCATGTGGTGATGGGGGTCAGTGTGTGGAGATGTGAGGGGTCCGCGTGTTGTCTGTGTGTGCGTGCGTGCGAGTGGCCCTCACCGCTAAAAGCCGTTGCTCTCGTGCTCTGCATTGCAGTGGAGGGGCCCAGGCAGACCGGAGAAGCGAGTGCCGCCTGGGCGCCGTGGGCCACCTGGTCACCGTGCTCGCGCGAGTGCGGCCGCGGCTTCCGCAGTCGCAACCGGCTGTGCGTGAGCGCCGGAGGGAGCAGCCTGAACCTCCAGCACCAGCAGCAGCCGCCCTCCTGCCCCGGCTCCCCGTCGGAGTTCCAGGAGTGCAACCCGCATCCCTGCCCTGGTATGCGGAGGGGTTCCGTGCCCGAGTGCGGTCGCCGACACCTTTGGGAGCGCGCGCCGCTGCGCATCGCGGGCGGCTGCCGTTCGCGGAGAGCGTGCGACGTGTACCGCGACGCGACAACCGGCAAGCGCGTTTTACGTCGCCGCGACGCGACGCTCATGGCGGCGCGTGAAACGCGCGCAGGGCTCCGGCGTCGCGTCGCGCGCTCTCATCCCGTGCGTCGGCGGCGGCTGTTGACGGGCGGCGCTCGTTGTGCGTTGTGCGCGTGGCTCCAGTGAATGGCGGCTGGTCGTGCTGGGCGTCCTGGTCCACGTGCTCGGCCACGTGCGGCGGCGGCCACCGGCAGCGAGGGCGCGTCTGCAACGAGCCGGTGCCGTCGCACGGAGGAGACATCTGCCTGGGGCTGCACACCGAGGAGTCGCTGTGCAACACGCAGCCCTGCACCGGTAAGCCTGCCCTCGCCACACCACCACGCCCGCGCCACACCGCGCCACACGTGCCGGTACTACACCACGTGTGCCCCGTACCACACCATGCAAAAAGCAGGAGGTTACAAAACTGACCGCAGGTGTTAGGGATTAGCTGATTGAGATGACTGGCAGATGCACCAACCGCACTCCTTACTTGTGCCACTTTGTGGTGTTTTAGCCGCCTGAGACTCATTGCAGACACAAATTCGCAAACATTCAAACGAACTCCATGTCCAGAGAAGTTGTCCTGTCACAGCAGCATCGCGTCAACCTCCATGTAGCCAAAACCTTTGTCCCAAAAAAAAACGAGTCCCCAAAAAACCATGTGCCATGATTTTTTACGCAACAGCAATAGTTGAATTCAGTGAACGCAAGGGAACCCATGCCCCCTCAAGAGCTGTGACTTGATTGAGAAGCAGAAAATAGTTTTATTGGCAGCTTTGGCTCACGATGCAGCTCTGGGCTTCTTCGTCCATTCCTCTCGACGGCAACTCACGGCAATGTGCAGACCCCGCGATTAGCAGAGCTTCAAACCGCGTCAGTGTTCAATCCACTTCCATTTTTACGGGGGGAGTACGGGAGGCACTAAAGAAGGCTGTATTATCTGCTCAGTAGCACGCGTTGGTGGACACAGTGGGATTCCTGTGTAGACGAGGGAATGCCAGGATGAACATGAGGCGTTTGTTTGTGCAGTCATACACTGGAAAAGATGAAGACAAACATCGCAGCGAGCATCTGTTTGTAAAAAAGTTATCTTATCAAATCTTCTCCAGCTTGATTCTGTATCTAGTGCTCACATGTGCTCTGGAATAGTTTATTTTCTACTTTGGCTCAAGATAGAGAAGATATATGCAAAAAGAACCCAAGGGGCTGTTGTGGCAAGTGCTGTTAATTAGCATCTATTCAGCACCTAATAATCCTGGCACAACACCCAAGTGGTGGGTGGTGTAGCGACGCATGCTCTGTTAATGCTGACTACACTACCAAATGAGGTGCTTATTTTAGGCCGAGTTAACGTAGGCCAGGCTCAGACTACAAATGTAACTCATTGTGCATGGCTACGAATATAAACACACACGCTCATACGATCGCTCACACGCATCCCCCAAACGGGTGCCACACACATGGACTGGCAGACATACGCACAGACACACAGACACGTACGCACACACACAAAGACGCTCACACACATGCGTGCGGTGCCGTTGGCTGTGGTTGCGGCTGTGGCCTGGCAGGACACCGATCCCTGTTGCACCGTGAAGACTCTGGCCAATCAACGCTGTGGTCCTGGCCCCGCGTGCATTAAGGGGTCTTTGTGTGCCAAGCCGGTTGAAAGCAAACTGGGCGGTAATATTTAGTTAGATGAGGACTGCTTCTTATTAACTGTCAAAAAACAAACTTACATTGTTTAAATTACAATTTGGTAAATTGTTCTTTCAGGAAATTAGACTGGTAGCTGTGGGAGCTATTGTTTTGGCGGGGACTAATACACATCGCCTTCTGTTCGCGATTATAAATATTTTAAAAATTCATTGTAACTTATGCAGGTGCAGTTAATGTGTAAACGTTGTTTTGATAACAAATCGTGCTTCTAATGTCATCAGGCCCGACCACTTGAGGGAGTTGTCCGTGTATGAGAGGTACTAATAGACCTTCAAAAGAAAGAGAGAAAAAAAAAGTTTAGTGCGAATTCCCCCGGCGGCGGCGGGGTCGAGAGAGTGTGCGTGTGCGATAAACATCTAGAAGCCCGGCCCGGCCACTCTGGCGCTCAGAGAGATAACGCTGAGCTCCCAGGACGTGATCCTGCCTCACTCGCAAATGGTTTCTTGGTAAAAAAAAATGTAAGACGAAAAAAAACACTATAATGCACCATTGCAAAATGAAAAGAGTGAAGAAAGATCGCTTCTTTTTCCAAGTGGAATAAATACTGCCCCCCCCCCTCCTCATTCACAAACGAAGAAAAAGCACAGAATGCCGTTCAAAGGCTATTGAATTCACTTCAACATTTTAGAGTTGCTTTCAGAGAAAGTGAAACCGTTCCATCAGAACTCATGTGAAATTCCCGACGGTTGGCAATTTTTTTATGCCACAAAGTAGCCTTTGAAAAGTAAGCCTTGCAGAGCTGTCGAGGGCTTAGCTGCGAGAATCAATGTTATTTTGTGTTATTTCCCCAGCCCCACCAGAGTATTCTGGTAAGCCGAGATTGAAGCGTGCAGAGGGTGGAGGCTCATTTAATCTGACACAGCATCAAGAGCTGTCCCAGCCACAATTACTCCCTCCACCGTTAAAGTCACTCATTTACATTTCATTCTTACTTGGACCAAACCTTGGCGGCCCCCTCTGACCGCCCCGTGCCCTCTAACCTCTGCTCCCTTACCGCAGCCGGCTGGGGGGAGTGGAGCGAGTGGAGCGAGTGCGACACGGTTGGACGGCGCCAGCGCTCGCGTCTCTGCTCCGTGCCCTTCCCCGACACGGAGCGCTGCTATGGGAACAGCACGGAGACGTCTGTGTGCCCGCAGCATCCCAATGCCATTGGTCAGTGCTGCACCGTAACCCCCGCGCACAGACACATGGCACTCCCCGCACTTGCACCGTCCCAGTAGCGAAAAACTTAGAAACGTGGCAAAATCAGTCTCAGGTTTTCGAGGTCTCCTTGCAAACATTATGGCTTGCAACATTTTGTGTAAAATTGTCCATTTTGCTACAGAAAATTGCAGAAAAGTGGTTTCCAACAATGTGTGAATTATGCCTATTTTCTTGATGGCCTCTCACATGGTTGAAATTTAAGCTTTTAGAATTATGGGGTTTCGCAGTCAAGGCTAGTCAGTCTGATGATAGTTGTGCACTTTCTCATTCAATATTATGAACACTTAATGATTATCCATTCAACCACCTGCATCTGCGAAACCACCTGAGACTTCGACACCTGAGGTGGACTGTTACCCTTCTTAAAACTGGAGTCGATGCACTGACTGACCCCTTCTCGTGATCGGTCAACCCTAATTGACGTCTTTTTTTCTATTTTTAGAAATACCAGTCAACGTTGCGTACTCAACGAAAGAAAGCAAAAGGTCATGTGGAGGTATGACGCACATGTGTTAATATTTGACGCACGATCATATATTTTAGCTTGTTTACGCTTTCTGCACATGTATGTAGGATAAAATGTAATTTAAAAAACGGAGGTATATTTTATACAAACAAGGTCAGCATATCTAAAACATAACCGTAACCGTTTTATTTCACTCAATTATAGAAAAAAATATAGTATTTATTTTCCATGTTAAACCCTATTGGAGAGTACAAATATTAGGCTTTGTTAATATTTTTATACCAGATTTTACATTTCGATTTAAAGCTTTCGTGACTGCAGGGATTCATCTTCTTTGTTCTTTCTTGGTTCAGATTTTTACAGCCGAAATCTTTTTTTTACACCTTCCATCCACACTCACCGCAATGTATCATCATGTTTAGCGCCTTGGGAAATAAGTGTAGTGCAGATTGTATTGATCGTGGCGGCGGTGGTGACCTCGTGTCGCATGACCCCTTAGAGTTCCACATGGTGCACCTGGTGGCGGCCGGCGTGGGCTCGGGCCTGCTCGGGTGCGTGGTGTCAGCGCTGCTCCTGGCGGCCGTGGGCCGGTGCCGGCGGCCGCACGCACCCCAATCACTCGAGCACCAGCCTCGCCCGCCACGCGGCGGGCAGCGCCACAGCCTTCCTCTCAACCCCTCGCTCAGCCCCACGCTCGGCAAGGTGGACAAATACGACTCGATCGACGCCATCAAGGTGAGTGATCGTCCACGAGAAGGGGAGTCGTGTGCCGCTCTGCCCTGTGCCGAGCCCAATTGCTCTTGAATGTTGGCTCGTACGTCAGAGCTTTACTAAAACTGATTTTGTATCATACACAGTTGAATGCATTTCTCAACATTGTTTTATTTCAAACTACATTGTGTGTGCCGTTCTCTAATGAGCCTTATTTTTTGCAGGTTCTCAACAAAAACTATCTGATCAACGAGGAGAAGACAAAGTGCATCAATTCCCACGTGCAGACGACAACAACCAAGACTTTTTCCAACACGCTCTACACGGACGTCAACAAATATGAGGACTATTGAGCGGGCACCACGAGCCGCGGAATGACACCGCGAGCCAGGGAGCCAGCACAGGCCGAGGCCACACCTCGTTACCCAGTGGAGCCATCTCGTGGGAACGTGGCCGAGGCTCAGCCCCTCACGACGAGCAGCAGATGCGACACTTCAATTAGGACGCCAAGTGACGAAAGGTTCTTGCTTTGGCAACAGAATCTTGATGAGAAGTACAAACTTGGCGCGACAGTTTCCAGACTTTGAGGCGATTGCTTGGCGTTGGAGGCATTGACTTCAAGTGGCTGTGCTTAGCTGCGTTGCTCCATGTCCAGTGAGAGGCTGGCTTGTTCTCTCTCCCGAGCACAACGTGCCAAATAAAGGAGGGCTGCGTTCATTGGATATTCATGTATCGCTCGGAACTGATCATAAAGTCCAGCACCTGACACCTGCCCCCTTTTAAATGTTGCTGGTGAAAGAAGAGGAGAATAAAAGCACGAATGAGCAGGCGAAGATGAAACACACAACGCGACGTGATGCAGATGTAACAACTTTCTTTTTTTGTGTTTTATGTAAATAAAAGCATTGTCACGATGGACACAGAACTAACCGCCATGAGTTAAAACAATACGGAATTACTTGGCACTTAAACCACTGCAGTCACTGTAAGCAGATATGTACAATACTCTACTGATTTTTTTTTATATATATGTAACTGAACATAGCATTCACTTTACCTTGAGAAAATTAGGATGATCCTGGCTGTCATAAGCAAGACTTTAATAGAGCAAAACACATTCCTGCGGAGGGAGCTGGTAGGAACGTTGGGTTGCTTGGTCAATGGCTGCGTGGTGTATTCCGCAAATATGCCCGACTGTGAGGGCGGCGCAAGCCGGCGTGAGTAGGTTAAACGTTGAGTTTTATAAGGGCACCACGGGGTGACCAGCCGCTTGCCACCCAGCCCCACCCTCCCCACCCAGCCCCTCCCCACCCTTCCCACCCAGCCCTTCCCTGCACGACAGACACAATAATCCCATGTGGGCTGGTGTAACCAGGAGGTTCCTACCAGTAAAACGAAATCGTAGTATGCTTCGTTGGCTTTATTTCGGCAAAAATGCTCACTTACAGGTCAGCTGTGACTTAACTCTTCATGGCTGCTCCGGCTAGCTGACCTGCAACTGAGCATCTAATAATTTCGCTGAATGAATACGAAATAAGCAACTGTCTGTTTCAGCGAAAAACGGTGCTGTTCAGGTTCACTGTGACAAAATGTCGATGGCACTCGACTCATCTTATTCTGTCTTTTAAGTGAAGTCTGCGAAGAGACATGAAGGCAACCAGATATAGGACACGAGGAGGTGTGCCCATCAAGCACATCACGTGAACCATAGCAACATCTCCATCACAGCGGTGTCTATTGTAGCAATCGCAACAGTGAATGTGTGTTATCGTCCAGTTGAATGCGATTGGAGCTCGCAAGAGTTACATCACTGGTCCTGGGTTAAACAACGTGTCTATGCGCTTTGGAGAGTGACCACGTGTGATGAGAACCATTTTTTATCCATGGAAAGTGTACCGCAGAGAAGGCAATCATTTGCTTGGATGCTATCACAATGGATGTGCAAGCTGATGGTGAGAGAGTTGCTGGACAGGCCTCCTGTGGGCCCACGGTCCAGTAAAATTAACGCTTTCACAAGGTGCTTGGTGCGTCTCCAAAATCATGTGTAAAGTTGCTTTGCCTTTTTCGCAGGTTTCCGTCTGTTAAGATTGTGCATTGCCAACACAGAATATCCCGATTGCGTGCAAGCTGCTACACTTGAAGTCTTTTAACAGGAAAGCAAGGTTTTCTTTTTGTATTTCAGTTTTTTTTTCAATGCTGCTTCAGCTTCCCTTAACCCCCCCCCCCCCCCCCCCCCCATGTGGTATTTATCCAGCGTTGTGTGTTTATACCGACGAGAAGAATATGACAACCCTTGCACGTGTCAGCGAGCGTCGTCTTCGCTGAAGTCCACGTGTGCGCGGCGTGCGAGAACGCAACTCAATGCAGGCGTGTGGCGTGGCGCGTGTGGTTTCGGTCCGGCTCAACTGGACAAACACACAAAAAAACGACGACGACGACGACCTCCCGGGAAGTTGTGTGGTTTTTTTTTGTGCGCGTGACTGGCAGGTTGCTCATTTGTGCGTCGAATCATCGCAAGCACGGCAGCCTGCTGAGCACCTCGCGGTTCGCGCAGCCAACGCGTGCCACGGTCGTCGTGCGATTTCGAGTCGGGAGTGGAGAGATTTTTGTTTTCTTTGTGTTGTTGTTTAAACAGCCTCCCGCGTGGTGATCCTGAGCCATACCGACACACGAATCTCATCTCGTTTCAAAAACGACATTGACACTGCTGCATCCAGAGTAGCAGGTGATGAAACGCTTTGTTATTGTGAAGCCGACATCTGGAAGCAGAGTGCATTTGCACTCGGGTTGCCGTGCGAATGAAAAATCGGATTATGCGTAAGGCGCGGGTCACGCGACCAGCACTGGTACATTCCATGATGTTTTAGTCGGAGATGAAACGTGAAATAATTGGTCTATTGTTGTCTTAATGAATTGGCCAAACCAAGGTTAGATTTTTTTTAAATGGCAATTGCCGCTAATGAATTGATAACTGTACAATTACAGCTCGCGTAAGTTTACGAATTATTGGTTTTGTTGGCTGGTAAAAATGTGACATTGTACGAGACAATTAACTGCGTCGTCTCTGATGGGGCGTGAAACCACATCTGTTTTGCGTTGGAACTGTCCGTCGACTGCTTGCAGTGGATGGAGACGCTGGCAGTGCGGAGTCTGGATTGATGAAGCCTGTGTGTGTTGGTTTGTATCACTGTTGAGACAGCTCATTACCACATCATTATTTTCTTCACAGACCATCCATATTCCTGAGTGTGGTGCTATTTGCACAATTGCTCTGGCTATCATGTTGTCATCTCCAATAAAATGTCACCACAGAAAGGATCTGTAACTTAAATCTAACGTTTGATTTACAGTCACGTGTCACATAGCCGTGTTTCTAAATGCATGGTAATGTAATTTCCAGACTCAATGTTGGTAGATTTTGTTTGAGCTTTTTCTGACCAGGGTGGCCGGGTAAGCCGAGCGGCACGTGACGTAGCCACCAGATAAATGTTGCATATTGGGGGTTTAAATCCTGCCGATAGTTGTTTCTGTATTAAATGACCAAATGGCACATTTTTCCTGTGACAGCATAGCAACACCATTGTATCGTGTTGCCATAGCTAATATCTCACTTGTGAAAAATTGTCCATGCTAATGTAATGATCAGTTATCCTTTGCAAGACAGCTTTTTGACGGCTTCTCACTTGGTTAGAGACCTGTGGTATCAAACAAGCGGAGCCCATTCATCACCATTATTGCGTCACTTTTTTTAAAAGACCTGTTGTGTTCTGACTTTAAGACCTGGGGCTCAGTCCTGCTCACGGCAGCTTGACCGAGGCACAAAATAAATAAGCAGGATTGTCCCCAACATGTGTTCGTCATGGTTTAAAATGTAGCTCCAGCATATTACTGCCTTGTTTGTGAATAGTGTATTCGCAATGCCCTGTTGTATTATTTCTTACTTGTACAGTGTAAAGAAAACGTTTTTTTACGAAAATTAAAATGACATTAGCCTCACTGGACTAAAATAAACTCTTAACAGAAAACCTATGGCCGTTTGACTTGATATATTATGCAGTAACTGGATTATCCTGGGTGGTGTTTTGTTATTGGTGGGGTATGGGGCAAAGGTTGTGCACCAGAACCTTTGGTAAGAATGTTCGTATCCATGTCCTTTAATTCATCGGAATAACAATAGCTCTTATCACAACCACCACCATTCTAGTTTTACAAATTGTAATGCATGGTTGGTTATGCTGGCAGGGATGGTGGTAGTGACTGATAGTGTTGGTGTTACTATGTTAGTAATTTTAATTGAATGATAATTATTGTTGGTGATGCTTGTGGTTGTGATCATGGTGATTTATTTAAAAAAATGTTAACACATATATATAACCCCCGTTCCCCAATGAGTTTGGTTCAGTCAAATGAGACAAGTCACAAGGTGATAATTTATTCCATCAAGTGCACCAAGCAGTACATAGTGGGTATTAAAGTTATTTACAAACATCTGCTGCACAGCACCTCCATGTTTGGCTTTGTAGAAAGTGAAGAAAATGACAAATGTAAATGTTTTAATTTTGTACAATACACAAGATTACCCAACAGTACATTAAATACAGTGATTGCAAAGTGTCCGTCATAGTGTCAATTGGCCACCAATGTCTATGGAAAAGACGACCACTCACCTGATGGAATCATTCAGATCTTTATCCACGTTTCTGAGTTGATGTTTACACATCTCTCAGACACCAATTTTATTTGGTCAATTATGCATTCACCAGAATGCTTGTGCGACATAAAGCACAACACCCACATTTGGAACCAAAATATACAGATATCCTTATAGATGTACATAATTAACATGTTAGGATCGTGCATTTTATGTTCATAAAAGCCTCAGGTGAGTCACGTTTAGCATTGGAAGAGTTTTCTTTACTGAACAAGTATTATCTGTGGTGCCACAAGCACATCCTCTGGAGATTTCAAATGAAGCTTCTATTGAAGCGAGTCATGCATTCAAGATGCTGCCTTTTATGCAGAGCCATGGGTCAGAAGTTACCATTTTAAACCACCTACATTACTTAACTAACACCACTCCTTCTAAACACAACACCTTGACATGTTCACCCAGAGTGAAAAAAACTAGAACAATTGGAGTCACGAGACAAAATACCCTGGTCATCTCCTTAAAGTAAACAAGTTAATGTACAAACTGACAATGTAAGAAAAGGAAAAACAAGGCACACATTAGGCTGGGTATTAGGAATGAGTTCACAATTGTTGCTATTTGCATTCATGGCACATCTGAAAAGCCAATGCCACACAAGCCGAGTTGGATAAACTTTTGGCAATAAATCATGAGCGCTTACCCCATCAACTGCCCTGTCCATAATTCAGCCACATGCTCCATGTGCACAGCAGTTTCCTTGCATTTACAGCATCAAACTGAGGCCCATCCAATACGAGACTTTATTTAACACGAGTAAAATCTATACATAAATAACCAAATATTCCAGCCTTTCCAAAGGACTGAAAAATAGAATAGTAAAGTGCATTCAAAGCCAGTCCATAGGTGCTCACCCGCAAGCATGCCATTCATAATCCACATATTAGCTAATGTACTTCCCGACTAAAAAAAAGATAATATGCCAACATGAAGTTTGTGAAATGAGGATTTAAAAAAAATACTTCATTGCACCAGTACTTAACAATACAAAAACGTTTGAGACATTTCGGGCACAATCCCTTCTGGAAAAGAAGTCATTCCACAAGGCAAAATAAATTAGATTTGAACAATTATTTTAGCAACATGTAGTCTTCGTGAGAATTCTTTCAAATAAATTTCAAGGAATAGTCATCCAAAGTGGGGAGAACACGGTCAAGGCAAACCAACGAAAACTCACAATAAAAAATCTAATCGTATATACAAATATGTAAAAACATGTAACACTTGTTCTTAAATGCAACTGCTTCTAAATAACAAACGGGCACCTGCTCCATGTAACCATCACCACAATACTCACGTCTACAGGATTTTGGGGTACAGGCTTGTGTATTACTTTGTCTGTTGCAAGTGAAGGTCAGGGAAGCCGTTCGTTCCACGCTACAATTTCTGTGCAAGTTTAGCCAGCAGTGCCCACTTCCTTAAGGTTTTAAGGGTTAGTGGAGGCAACACGACAGGATCGTCTGTGCGACACGTCACACAGACAGGAACACGTCGAGGTGGAGACGGTTGTAGGTTTCGGGCAGCAACAGAATCCCCAGCACGCCGCACGCGCACGATCCCGCCAAGCACCAACTCAGCCACGTGACCTCTGTAAGCCACGTGCACAAGAAAAACAAAAATAAAAATTCCCCATATAGCCTGAACAGACTGCTGGGGGAAGAACAGTTAGCGAGCACCTATGACGGTTGGCATGACACACGAGGGGGTGGGTGGCCAGCACCACGCCCAGCCACCTTTGTCTCCCTTGCGGCAATGTTCACAACCACTACCAGGTACTCAGATGGACGTGCACAAATACACACACACAAAACAACGGAAGCGTATATGAATGCACGGATGATTCTGTAAAATGGACACGATAAGCACAACTTTCCAGAGACTATTTCAGTGTAAGTGCAATGGTGTTTTCAATTAATCTGCAGTTTTTAAAAAGCCGTACTGTATATGAATACAAAGAAATCCAGAGCATTGATTGAGTATATGTCATTTTGCTGAAACCGTCTCGTCACTGTTCCCTAAAGCACAGGAATACATTGTGCCTTTGTGTACATGCTCACATTCCATGTATTACATGGCATGGATTAAACAGATGAGCAAATATAGTTCTCACAAACTGTATAAAGAATTAGTGTGTCATTCAACGGAATCAATTATGACGAACGTACAGCGATGCTCATAAGATACTTCCTAATTTGTGTAAAGTCGGAAGAAGAAAAAAAATCTATGGCATTGCTAATAAATGTATGAACGTACCAACGAGACATGCTGCACATCCCCCACCTTGCCACGCCATTGGCAGGCAACGATTCGCAAGTGAACGCTGGCAAAAGCAGAGATGCGCATGTCGTGCCTCACCGGCGAAGTGCGATATGAGGACGTTGAGCGGGACACCGACCGCCACGACGCTGATGAAGGCGGCAAGGCCACAGCTGAGTCCCTCAGGCACGGGGAAGGTGGCCTCAACCACCAGCTCCAGCAGCAATGGCACGGCACTCACCAGGCACGCCCCGAACAGCACACATGTGCCCAGCAGGTTCCCTGCACAACCGCCCGCGTATGCGCACATGCACAGGGGAAATGCCTTTGTCCGGGTAAGCAATAAAAACGTTATTGCTAGGCTACCTCGTGCTCATCTCCCGACATTAAATGGAGATTCAAGTCAAACACAAATCGCGTACCTAGGACATGCGTCTCGGGCTGTTGGACACAAGATTTAGTATTCTCCACCAGGGAATGTTGTAGTGATGTCACTGCATCAACCGTGTGGCTTCACTGGAGTGCCAGAGCCACTCTTGACCTTTGTGTCAGTCTTTTTTTACATTAACAAAGACTCAAATGTATGTCAGACATGACAAAACAGCAGCCTAGGTACGTAGCTACAAGAAACATTTGATGGGCTGGGTATTCCTTGAAGCAGCACTCACGTTTTTATTCACAAGTGAAAACAGCTACCACTACCAACCACATCATCAACTTTGGAATCATTTTAGCAAAAACATAATGCTGCTGTAATGAACCCAAAAACATCCCTCCTGTCACTGTGTGACTTCCCAGTGCCTTTGGACTGGGCGTGCTCAATCTCATTCCACTGCCAGTTGAGACGTGTGGAGGAGTAATGCCGAGCAGCGTGCGGGCTCAAACCTTTGTAAAAGTGGAGAAAGGGGACGAGGCCGAGGCAGCTGAGTGTGAACCACACAGACACGATGCTGGCTCCCGCCAGGAGGGTCAGCACAATGACCTTGAGTTGTCCCGTGAAGTAATCGGCAAATCTTGCGCACATTCCCATTGCAATATGCAGTGTTACAAACCCGCCAAAACTCAGTCAGCACGCACGCTCTTCATAACCAGGAGCAGGGCACGCCCCCTTTACAAAACACCCATTAACTGTGCCAATGCTCATGTAATTTACAATAAAGGTGAGCCATGTACTCTATCCTACAAATATAAAATCCTTGGAAATGTGATGAAAATCCTTACATGAAAGGACACAACAAAGCTAGTTTATTTGCTTACATGTTTTTGATATTGCTTAAAAGGCAACTATAAGAAATTTAGGTTGATGTAAACACTTAAGAAATTTTATTGTTGCGGTTTTGTTTCCATTAAATTCCATAGGCCATTGATGCACACTCCTACAAAACGTGACTGCACTTGGAAAGTAGTCAAAACAATGCTGAAATTTCATTTTTAAACTTTAGGCAGCTCATTCAAAACATATACACAAAAAATTAAAACTTGCCAGTTGCTTTGTCTTAACACTACCCAGCTGGGTAATGGCAGAATGCAGTTTGTACTGCTGACCTGATGCAAAAGCCCCTGCCTTTTTCAAATTAGGGGTATATTTTCATTTTATTAGTCCAATGTATATTTGCCACACAGAAACAAACACACATTATATACATTATAGTGATTCCAAAGGACATGCATTGCAGAGTGGAGTCACACGGGACCGTGTGAATGTACACATTACACGCAGGAGCTATAAAAACGATTTCCCATGAAACAATGAAGGAACAAAAACACGTTGACGAAATGCTGCAGGGTTTTTTTGGTTAAAGATGACAAAGCGTACGAATAAAAAAGAAAGCATGCAAATGCTGAAAGGAAAACTCTAAACTCGGTTCACCCTATCCTCAGGGTACAAGGTTGTGCCATGCCATGTGAACCTGTCATTCCAGCTTTCCTTCCATAAAGCACTGGAAAAGCAACATCTTGCTCAATTGAGAACACTTTCAGGCTGTTGTTAAATGGCCCAGTGATCGTCAGACGCTTGTGTATGTGCATCGTTAAAAAAGCCATCTCAGGTTTCTTCTGAGCACTAACCGTAATACCTAAATTCACGTGAAAGCTTCAACACAATTTCCTCCAGACAGCCCCCAAAAGAGCTTAACAGCTCCAACATCCTTTGAACGTGATCATTAGCACAAAGTAGTTCAAATGCACATCCCGTTTACACAAGTTACTTTTCCATCCATGCTCTAAAGTGCGACAGGAGTATACCAAGCAAGTAGTAAAAAAATATTGGTATCCTCAGCAACAGATGAATTTACGGAGATAAAAATACGACATCTCACCTCGCGACGACCAGGGAGCCTGCACAACCGGCCACAACGGCAGCTAAACTGGCCCAACCTGCATCCGTCTTTGTCATCACAACGCCAGCAGCCAGAAAAAGACAGTAAACATGAGTAGCGCATTTGCGTTATGACACAAACCACTTTACCAGAGCAAAGAGCTCGCAGAGAAACAGTTGTGAAATTCAATACCATGTCTATATTTTGAATGACATTCAACAGTTACGTGATATTGATATATTATACAGATGATGTTTGTGTGCTCAGAACCACAAATACTGAAGATTTTTAATTATAATACGTACAGATTTAGAAGATTATAAAATGTAAATAACAGAGCCGAATTAGGTATATGAATGCAGCAATTAAGTTCACACAGACATCAGACGTGGTTGCCAATTTTGTTTTTACTATGAGCACCCACCGTTGAGACCTTATCATGGGGAAGGAAGTAGTTCAGTTGCTTCAGCCAGGCTATGCTGACTGCCAGGGGCACAGCGTACAGCAAAATCGCCACCCAGCTCCATGGCCTTCTGTAAAAAAGAATCCCAATGCTGCTTTGAAACAGGGCAGTGGAGCACCAAGAGCACTTTTATCACCATCGCATTAGGAAGCAATCACATTGCTTCGTTTGTCACAATATGACAGTTGAATGAATAATGCATCCGTGTGCTTACGTGAGCAGGCGGCAAATTGCCTCACAGTAGCCCAGCCGAGGGGTGGCAGAGGAGATGCTGGGTGGAACAGGTGGATGAGCAGGGAAGTATAAAACCACAACCAAGAACAGTGCCATCACCACGACTAGCTCTGTGAATCAGAGACCATACAAGGCAGAGACAAGACAAACATGAATTGCACAGACGTGAAAAACATCAATTCCCGTAAGTGTTATAATGGGTCCCATTTGGCTCTCTCACTGCGCTGGTTACCAATTACACGTGCCCATCTTAAACTGTACTTTTGCTGAGCATTTTCACACAGGAGAAATCATGCCATCCACTTACCAGCATAGAGCAACAGCTGAATTCTGTGTAGGGCCTCTGACGGGGTTCCCAGAGTGGGAGGCCTCATTTGGCCATCGATGCCATGGGGGTGTGGGGCAGATCCCATGTGGACAAGCAAGGGCTCCAGGAGGAAGGCACAGGCACCCCCCAGGTAACTGGTCAGTACCCCCACTGCCGTCCCTGTGGTGCGCTCATCCTGCAAAGTCAGCGTGTCAACCACAATTAACAACTGCACTCTGTTTTACTACAATGCTTTCACTCGACACTTGGTATTGCAAGTGTTCATGAGATGGTAACTCATTTATGTAACAGCAGAAATTTCCAAATTGTAACAAATTCTAAAAATTATTTTAGATCTGTCACTTAAAATGATGGAGTCCATTGATGTAGCTGCTCACTCCGAGCTATCATTACTCTGATAGTGGCATTGTCTTTGTGCTGTACGCCTTTTGGCATCCTCTGGTCTAACACTGTTTTGAGACTAGGCTCAAAAGAAAGCTGTCTCTGGTGTGGACCAATCAGTTTCAAAGACAATTAATATATTATCAAAGTATGTTTTTTTTTTGCATTTTGACCACAAGTATTGTGGTTAATGCAGACATGATTCCTTGTAAAACGTTTTAGTTTGGTGTTTTAACATCTTAACACCTGTTTTGTTGCCAGAAAAAAGGGGATAACCTATTCTCATGGAGTCTTTATGTATGAATTTAAATAAAATATTAGCTGTCAAGAGCGCAACAAATATTAATACATGAACTTTATATCAGAAATGCACCGTTTCTATTTTTTGTACAGGGTATGACATTCCCAATCAACAACTTTGAGAAATTACACGTAACTGTCTATTTACAGACAGCCGATGCCGAATATAACAAAGGCCAGACTTGTTTTTGCAGTATTTTAGCATGATGTAGTCAAGCGAGGGGTGAATTTCTCATACCTGTGGAAACCAGGCAGTCGAAAGGTATGGGCCAGCAGCCAGTGCCACGGGGCCAGCCATCCCTATAACCAGTTGTCCCGAGTGAATCAGCCTAGAGTGGGACGCCAAAGTAGACAACTCATCACTGGCTCACACCAACACATTAACAGTCACGGTACATTATATAAGAACAGTATAAAATGGAGATTTCATGCAAGATACTTTCAAAATGAGCACTCCCGTCTCATTGTTATCTAGGACTGTAATAACACATCGGACTTTTGTTTTGTTTATGCTAAGAATCACCCACTGGATCTCCCTCACACGGCAGCCTGTGGCACTTGTAATTGAGTACGTATGTTTCAGCTACATTCATCTGCATTGCAGCGTGACCAGGGCAAACTCCTGCAAGCAGTGTGATGGACGAGGCCAGGGCTTATTGCTGTTACATAACCCTGCGGAGGGGGGGGCGACGTACCATCTGCGGACGTCGTTCATGTCAGTCGGAATGCAGCGGAGGCCGCATCCTGTCGTCAGCAGAAACAGCGAGGCCAACAGCGACACTCGAAGGCCTGGGCAGTGGACAGAGATCGCAGCGTATTAGGGGCCAAACAACGTCAGCTGCTGACTTACTGTGCCACCCTCAATGGAAAATCTTCATAGCAGCCAGAAACGCGTAATTTGCTCGTGCAGAGGCCATTGGTTATAACAGCCGTCGTGTAATTATGTACACATGGGCATAGCCTCCCTAGGCAGTCCACCGTGCTGATTGAGCAAATTATACACATAATCAGCAAAATACAAAAACATCCTTCTCACCCGAGCCAATTCCATGGCCATGCCCACCGCGTCCTTCCACGCCACAGATTAACCCAAGTGTTCTGGACATGTCTTTGTCAACACTTTGTGCAGTATAGTGCCCCTATAACCAACCAGTGCCTCTTTACACCACAGTAGCGCCAACCAACTCTTGACACATGGCCCAAATGATCACATATCGTGATCATTTGGTGTCCTGGTCAAACGCGTATGCGCCCATGTGCACTGGCCATAATCAGAGGGCCCTATCCATGACCATGCCCACGCACCCTGACCAAAGCCCTTGGGGCCCATGCCCCCCAATGTCGCTCGTGCCCCCCAATGTCGCTCGTGCCCCAAGCAATGCCCCCCACGCTGCACCCACGAACCGCGCTTGTCCAGCAGAGCCGCGAGGAAGGGGAAGGCCGAAAATCCGAGCGCTCCCCAGTTGGCGAGCAGCGCCACGTCCGTGTCATTGAACAGCCCCGCGGCTTGGGCCGTGTCCTGCACGGGCAGCCACGCGTTCCGTGCCAGGCCCTGCATGAAGGCGAAGGCGGCCAGGGTGGCGAGGACGAGCCAGCGGCACGGGGAACGGGCGCGGGGCCCGGGCGAGACGCCCACACCGGGGCCCGTCTCGTCCGCCCAGAGGGTGCGAGTCCAGCCGCGACGCGGCGAGGATAGGAGCCGCTCACGCTCGTCGGCCTCCTCCTCCTCCTCGTAGCGCGACATCATGGCGCCGCGCTCCTAGTCACCCTCGATTAGTAAACGGCGGCGGCGGTGACCATTAACAGTGACGATAACAGTCGCCAATGGCCACGAGTTTTCGGAGTCGTTCTCACCGACAGTGGCGGCAACAACAATAACAGCCGCTGGCCACGCCCCTCCCCCTCCCCTCGTGAGCCGAGATAAGAAATCGCAAGACGCCCCTGGGGCCGACATTGTGAGCGCGTAGCGACGGAGCGCGAGCGCCTCGGGTGCCCTCAGAACAAATCTTACGAGTGGAGCGTCGGAGGCCCAAGTACCCGGATGTATACACAGTGAGTTGAGGTGACGTCACGCGGGGGCGGACCCACAGCTGGCAGGGAGCGCGGGTGGGGGGGGGGCACGTGAGGAAGGGGCGGGACCGAGATGGCCGGAGGCGTGGCCTGTTTGCGTGGATGGGTGGGGCAAATCCGCAACCACCTCTACATAACAAAGGCTCAGTCAACCATTCTACACAACAAAGACTAATTTCCTGGCAGCGATTTCAGCCGCACCACCTCTACATAACAAAGGCTCAGTCAACCATTCTACACAACAAAGACTAATTTCCTGGCAGCGATTTCAGCCGCACCACCTCTACATAACAAAGGCTCAGTCAACCATTCTACACAACAAAGACTAATTTCCCGGCAGCGATTTCAGCCGCACCACCTCTACATAACAATAGGCTCAGTCAACCATTCTACACAACAAAGACTAATTTCCCGGCAGCGATTTCAGCCGCATCATCTCTACATAACAAAAAGGCCCAGTCCCTTTTACATGCGCCTCTACGTCATCCGCACCTAGTTTACACAACAAAGGCTCATTCCTAACAGCGTGCTTCAGGTGCACCGAACCTCACAAAAATAATATTCAGGGCCTATCTTGGCTCCTCCCACCCTCAACCAGTATATATAACAAATAAACCCGTAAAAACAACGTTTTTCACTATAAATCCTTTATATGCGTGGCGGCAAACTTAATATAAAGGATTTTAAAATATGTTCGCCTGTGGAGGACGCGGGGATCGATCCCGCGACCTTTGGCATGGGAAGCGAGGGCGCTACCAACTGCACTACTCCGCCACGGCCTGTGGAGGGGTTACGCTCTGGGCTCTTACACTCTGACGTTCAGCCAAAGCCATGAATGCGTTCTATTTTAATATATGTAAAAATTTTATTTTTTTGCCTAAAAAGTGTAAAATTTTGGGAATTTTTTTTCACGAACAATAATTGTCTGGCACAACGAGTCTGTGTGGAAAATATCAGCTCGATTGGATCACGGGAAGTGGGTTAAAAAACGACCGAAATATTTGCACGGTCCTAAGCAAGCAAGCAAGCACGCAAGCACGCGAACTTAATATAAAGGATTTAAAAATACGGGTTTCTTGGAATTTCTCTCACTTGATACAACTATCGTGCTGTGACTGTTCCACCGGAAGACGGGGGCTTGTGTTGCCTCCGAAACGTCTTGATTTTTATTTTATTTTACTTTTATTAATTTTAATTTTTTACCTACGTGACTTTACCGAAAAAACCTAAGAATATGAATTCTTGCAGTCACGAAAGCTTCAAATCTAGAATGTAGGGGAGAGGCCAGGTGTGTTGGAGGGATGGACACGCGCGCGCATGCAGAATCAGAATCTGTGTTTGTACTGGAGGAGGAATCCGATGAGCTTATAAAGCTCATTTTATCCTCACCGATGTTCCAGTAGGGGCAGGGGGTCAGAAAGTTGCAACAACAAGCAATACAAAGACACGCCAGGAGTGCTACTGTGTTAGGTCTTTAATTCACCCAGAATTACGGTCATACAAACGTGGCCAAAAATAAAATTTACTTTTAATTATGAATACGTAAGGTGCACGAGTCGTTTAGAAGATTGCAATTGCAACTTTTATCAATATATTGTCTAAATGCGAAAACATACTGTTTCCAGATGTTTTATTAAACGGAGTAGTACATTATGACATTTTAATAATAGACTACAATAAGTAAAATCCACCACAACACTACAAAATCGCATTTCCTCCGAATCACGTGGCCAAACTAGGGACTTGTATAAACTCTGCTAGATTAAAAATTGTAGGCAGGCAATTTAAGGCATCGCTTGAACATTTGAAGTCAGGTCAAGTCATACCGCGTTGACTGGTCTTCATTCTGCTGTAGGCTTGTTCTACATATTTCTAATGTATGACCGGTCAATGTAATGACCACGGTTTTATTCCCCACTGCTTCAATTGGAGTTCATCTGCTGAGGCTCTTTTTACCGACCCCCGAGGATTTAGGAAGCACTGAGTTGACCCTGACCAGGATTTTAAATTTATGATAAGATGTCACTCATTGTGTAACTGATAAGCTGCATAAACATTAGCTTGTACGATCAATGGATGCTTGTGAAGTAGCGTATATAGTATTTAAAATAATTTCTATCACAATAACCATTATTTTTACTTTAAAGTGCCAGAAACATTTAGCAAGTTATTGTACTAACTGTGGAGCATTCATGCATGACTATGAAAAATATAAGAATAGGGTTTTGTAGTCATTTTTGTATTACTTTAGTATAAATACATGTTAATTTTGATTCATATGTTGTTGTTTTTATGACTTTATGTGAACGAAAACACACAAATTCGCCCGTTTTCTCATTGAAAATATGTAAATTTCAAAATATCAGTGTCCTGGTCACAAAAGCAAAGTTTGTGGGTAATAATAGACATTTTCTGTACTTTTGAGGCATAAGCAATTAGGAAATAATAGGAACAAAACAATTGTTACATAGTGTAATATATGCATTGTCTTTGAAACTGATTGACCTACACCAGAGACAATCTTCTTTCGAGCCTAGTCTCACCATTGTCAGACCAGAGAACGCCAAAAGGCGAACAGTACGAAGACAATGCCCTAACAGAGCCTTTAGAGCTCGGGGTGAGCAGCTACAAAATGCATGATTGTTTTAAAAGCAGCTGAGAACGTGAGATGGAATTGATAAATGATATATGCCTGCATCACTTTTTTAAAACTTTTATATCTTCTTCATCGTGGCTATTTAGCCTTCACGCCCCCATAGTCACTGCACTATTGCATCAAGTGATGGAAATAATGCATCATTTCTTGCAGCTCTGTTGCAGACCAGACATCTCATTAGCTCGTATATATAACAGTTCTGTAACAAAAAAAACAGACAAAATGAAATTAGAGAATTGTGAGAAACGGCTGTTGCTCCCCAGCCGATGGAGGCGATGGTGGAGAGTTGACGAGCTGTCATCCACTGCATCAAACAGCGATAGCATCAGCAATTCCCAGGCACCACACTGAAGATTTGTCAAACAGCAGTGCCCACTGAGAGTTGAGGAGCACGAGGGAGCTTCCTGCCCAAATGTCACTTGCATCCTGTTTACTGTGTGCATATGATAAGATTTCAATGAGATGACCGTGAAGTCTGGGGAAAAAAAGATTAGAAATGCTCGGTCTTTAAGGAGTATTTTACAGAGTATGATGCTTTGGTGGGAATGTGAATGGCGAAAACCCCCGTGACACCACAGCAAAACAAACACATTTTACTAAAAATAACCTGGATCTAATATAGGCTTTCATTCATCAGTGGACTGACAACGAGCTTTGGAGAAAAATGCAAAAAACTAATATTTTTGGAAAAATGCATCACTGATCCTAAACACTCTTTCAGTATGGTGATGCTGGAGATATTGGTCATTATTGAGCACTTTGTGCGTGGGAAGAAAACTGAGTGCCACGAGAATGCCACGTAGAATTGCAGCCAGCTTTCTGGATTCTATTCTCAGGGCCACATGGTAGCCCGCAAGTGGGTATCTCCCACAAACTATGATCTCTGCACGACTACGTGATTCACCAAACCCACCTCCAAAGTGTTGGATCATTGGGCGTGCGCCACCACACATGGCTGATATTTAGCATGTTTGATTTCCAACATGTGCCATAATCATCCTAAACAAAGTAACATCTCACATTCTTACGGTACACTTTCGACAACATAAAATGGTGATGCATCCTAATAGACGACCACAGAAAAACACGTTCCTGTGGAGGGAGCTGGTAGGAACGTTGGGTTGCTCGGTCAATGGCCAGGGTCAACGGCGGCGTGGTGTATTCTGCAAATATGCCCGACTGTGAGGGCGCGCACAAGCCGGCGTGAGTAGGTTAAACGTTGCGTTTTATAAGGGCACCACGGGGTGACCAGCCCCTCCCCACCCAGCCCCACTCCACTCAGCCCCAACCCCTCCCACCCCTACCCAGCCCCACCCTCCCCACCCAGCCCCTCCCCACCCTCCCCACCCAGCCCCACCCTCCCCACCCAGCCCCTCCCCACCCTCCCCTCCCCACCCAGCCCCTCCCTCCCCACCCAGCCCCTCCTTGCACGACGGATGAACGGACACAATAATCCCCTGTGGGCTGGTGTAACCAGGAGGTTTCTACCAGTATAAAACAAATGAAGTGAAACCCCGACTGAGGGGTGAGGTCACTTTCCTGTACCTCGGGCAGGTCTGCTCGAATGCCCCTATGTTTACGTGAAGCTCAGAGAGGTTCATTGAGTCATGTGCTGGAGTAGGAAAATAGGCCCTCTCCTCCACAGAACCTGGCCCTATGTGGATTTATTTAGTAACCAGAGTCTGCCTGCTGCAAGTCAGTCCCCGAATAAAGCCCGTGTCACTCACACGGGATAGTGACGGCTCATTCGCTCCTCGCCACTATGCCTCTTTTGCACATATCTGATACATCTCTCGTCGCGTATTGGTCCCTTGAAACAAATCCATTATCACGGAGTGCATTTTGCACAGCTAAAGTAATGGTGGAATACATAAAGTGCAAAAAAAAGTTATTATTAAAAAAATCTATTTTTTCCATAGCTATATTTTTTCCCCCAGAGAACTGGTTTGTAAGCATGGGCTGTGCGAAAACAAAGAGAGCGGAATAGTTTCCTTCGAATAGCTACACATTGGCAAGCAAACACCTTCCTTTGGCTTATTTTAAATTCATGAGGAATGTCCTTACTTCAAGTCCAATGCATTCCTTTACGAAATGTTTAATACACATGCAATAAACATATAAGTGAATGCAGTGTACGATGCTGTGCTATTTAAAATGAATCTTCCCTGC